ACTTGGTATTGTGTTCAGACCGAGCGATGTGATTGACGAAGCATACAGCTACTGCTGTCAGAGGCTCCAAACCCAGGAGCTAGATGGTTGCAATGTCACAAAAAAATTGATGGAGGTTCTTGTGAGGAAAAAAAGGCCATTCTAGCCTCTCAATCTTAGATGTAATTTCAATTCAGACGTGCCTGGAATGTTATGCAAAATCATTTAGTATCGTACTAAAATCCAGTAGGCACTTTCACTGAATTATATTCTATAGTAATAAAACCCTGAATCAGGTCTGCAGTCTTGATTTTGAGATGAGAAGCAATTCTTGCTTTCCTTCTGCTCTGAAAGAACTTATTTAGGCTAAGAGCAAACCACGGTGGTTTGATAAGCGCAGAATGCTTGCTGAAAGAGTACTTGATGATTAGGAATATTTTCAGTCCCAGAGAATAAAAAAAACCCCACCTTTCTTTCAGAATGTCTGGGGGTTTATGACCTTAAGCTGCTATGGTTACAAAAGGGAAGAGGTGGTCTCTCTTACAAGTACTATTTCTTTCAGATTATTTCTCAGGATGAGGCAGACAGAAGAGGAAAAGTATACGACAAATACATGTGCAGCTTTCTGTTTAACTTGAATAATGGTACGTATGTGACTAGTCACAACACTTGCAGCAGAAATGAAATATGTACGCTTACCATTTTGTTCAGCTCTAGTCTTTTGCAGGCAGAAATTTTTTCTTCTGCACATTTTTTCCTAGCGATGTGCGGATTCCTAACATTGATAGCTAGTGTTTTTTTTTCCTAAATGCTCGTCAACTAGATAGTAGCGATGGGGCCTATTACACAAGCCAACTATACGAGATGAGTTGAGTAGAAGTAGAATTTCATGGAGTAAAATTACGTGCAAGCATGAAGTAGCCTAAAGAATTGAAAAGGCTTCCTAGGTGTTGTCTGAAATAATTTTACTGTGACGTACATTAGCAGTAAGTTACGATGGTAATTTTGTGGCGGGGAAACAAAAGCCACATGCAGGTATGTGGCATGTGGCTACTGCCACTTCAAGAGAAAAATGCAGACACCATCAAGCGTGAAATACTAGAAAATACTTGAAAGGAGGAAGAAAAGCTGCTTTATGGCAGTGTTGACTTAGCGTATTTATGGAGCTTGTCCTTGTGGAATAAAGGTAGAGAAGCTAAGGTAGTGCCACGGCGGCAGGGGATAAAGGGGAGGCAGAGGGGGTTTTTAATATGCGGCATCTTGCAGAACAATAAAGCCAGCTCCTCCCTGTGGGAAGCTGAGCAGTTAGTTATCTTTTCCAGCTGCTAAAATCCAAGCACACCTGGTATTAAACACAAAATTCTGCTTGTAGGTGACCTGTCTGTCATTTGTGCATTTTGGTTCTTTTTTTTTCCCCCCCTCCAGATTTTGTGGTTGATGCGACGCGCAAGGGCAACAAAATTAGATTTGCAAACCATTCAGTAAATCCCAACTGCTATGCAAAAGGTAAGTTTTAAATTTACTTGCTTTTAGCACTGTCTGAAATGTTGCGGGATACTTATTTAGAATACACATTTTAACACAAATACTGATAACATAAGTTTAAATTTCTTTTAAACAGTTATGATGGTTAATGGCGATCACAGAATAGGAATATTTGCTAAAAGAGCCATTCAGACTGGTGAAGAACTGTTCTTTGACTACAGGTTGGTAGATGGATTTTTTAATTTCTTCCTAGCTCCTAATTAATTACTGCACCTGCCTCCTTACCACCTGAGGTTGCAGCAGCTGAGCCGCAGTCCCCTTGCATTTCTCTTTAAGCCAGCTCCCGTAGTTAAGCTTCACTTGAGCAAAGCAGCTGGTTAAGAGCCTTGCGAACTTGGAACAGCAGCCTGTATAGAGACGAGTTGAGTGACAAAACAGGGACCGACCTGCACAACTTTTCCAGGCAGACCTGCATATTAAACTTTATCTGGCAGGATTCCCTAGCTACCGGTACAGGTTGTCTCTCCCATCACTCAGAAACAGGCAAGAAATATTCCGGTGTTACGACAGAGAAGGGCTTGCTAAGATTGTCTTCACGCTTCCCTCTAAAATCACCTCGCATGAAGAAAACCGAGCTGTGCGGTGCTCGCATGGTGTAAGTCAACCTTGCGAAATGCAGTTCCTTTCCGCTGGCTACAATGACCTTCAGCACTGTGAGATTTAAGGGGAAAAGGGGGGAATTTTAGCGTTTTGTTTCCTCTTGGTCAAACTCCTCTAGAAGCAGTTCCTTGAGGGGCCAGCATAGTTCTGCATCTGCAGAGTCACACAAGGCCCCAGTGGTGAGGAAAGGCTGGGAAATCTGGGAGTGTTCCAGGCTGTGGTGCTGGGAACAACACAGCTGAAATGTTGGGTGTTACTGGTTTTTAGTTTTGGTTTTATTTTTTTTTTAAATTTCAGATATAGCCAAGCTGATGCCCTTAAGTATGTGGGCATTGAAAGAGAAATGGAAATCCCTTGACACCAGCTACCTCTTCTTTTAAACAAACAGCTGCCTTATCTTCAGGAATTTCTAGTACTGTGGGCAATTTTAGAAAAATAAAAATGATGCAATTTGAAATTCTGTATTTGCAAAGTACTGTAACAGTAATTTATAGTAACAAATTTTAAAAAAAAACACAACTTTTTATTGCCTTCTCACCAGCTGCAAAGTGTTTTGTACCTATGAACTTTTGCAATAATGTGGTGTGGTACATGTTTCAACCTTGAATAAAGGATACTTGAACTTCTTCATTTTTACTGGAACCGAGTTGCACTTTTGTGTCAGCCCCTTGAGGAAGCAACAGGAATAATTCAGCTTCCGAGCAAAGGTAACTCCACACTTGTCTACTCCTGTTGCTGTTACTTCAGGTCACGTTTAAGAGTAGTGTGAAGATGTAAACAGTGTAGGAGCTGTCAGTCAGGCCAATTCTGGAACTTCAGCACAGAGCACCCCAGTAAAACAGTTTTAATGGGCCCTTGGCGTGAAGCTACAGTCACATTCTCTAAAGCGTGGGTTGCAGCTTAGAAACTCCTACAGCCTCATCACAATATCCACTGCACTTCATTTTTTAAAAGTTTCTCTCTACTTTTGCTAAGCCTCAGCAGTCCCAGGGGCTGTCTGCTAGCAGTAGATGCACTTAATGGGAGGGGAAAAGGGTTCCCCCTAAAAACCAAACCAAAACAAAAACCCAACCACAACCAGAGCAGCTGTGACTTCTGGGACAAACCCTACTCTGAGGAGCAGTTTGTGGTACAAGGTTTGCCTCTATTGTCTCCCTCTTTGTTAAAGGCAATGCAGGTGCTGTGGATCTCCTCCCTCTGTTCACTCAGTGGGGAGCTGAGGAGACATTAGCATCACTTTTGGTAAGGGAACCAGCAGCCATTTTCCAAGAAGCTGGACCCCTCAACTGCAGCTTCTCTGAAGCAACAAACCGAACCATGACTGCAGCAGTAATTACACAATCACACACACCTTTCTTTTTCTGCATCCCTTGTTTAGCTGTAAGCACTCACTATTTTGCTTATTGGTGCAGTTACTATCTCTTACTACAAATTTTTTTATAGATCTGTTTTTATCCAAAATGGTTTAGGTTGCAGCTGTTGTCTGAGTCTTGTATGGGGCTACCAGGTTCATTTGTCATTTGCCAGCTGAGCACGAACGCTGCAGCCTCATGCTGGATTGAAGGGGATGCTCCAGTCAAAACAGCTGGGGCGAGAGGGCAGGCACCGGGACGCGCTGCTGCAAAACTGATCTCAAGAGCCACGGCCCTTCGGTGCTGGGCAGACTCCAGCTCCTGGGCCCTGCTCAGCAAAAGCCAGCGCAGCTCTGCCTGCTGCCGCCCTCGCCCCGACAGCCGCCTCCGTGGGGGCCGGAGTGAGAACCATCCCTGGGCCTGCTTTTCTGTCACCACCCCACTCTGCCCTCCTGCTACAACCACCCACGGGCACCAACTGGCTGCACAAGGGTTTACAAACACAAAGCATCTTAAAAACAACCAACCCCCAAACAAAAAAAAGCCAGCACAGAAAGCAGCACAAGCTCCACTCTTCTAAATTTCAAAAAGCAATTTGAAAACCGAACGGCAAAGATGCTGCTCTTGCCTGCGCTGGCAGTCTTTGGTGCAATTAAAGTTCTTTCAGAATAGCAGTGGCAAGCGGCAACATCTCAAGTGGGGATGAGACTTTTCCCCCCATTTTCCAAACCAGTTTGGATCACGTTGAATACTGCTCTGCAATTTTACTTACTTTTTTTTTTTTTGGTAGGTCTTTTTTTGTAGGTCAGAACTCAATTGTAACCATGAAAAATTAATTTTGCTCAAACACTATCGACACAACACCTGGCTCTCTTCTTCACACCAGAACAAACACTGAACAAATCAACAAATTCTATGGGGGGGGAGTGTTTGGCTGCAGCGGTTGGGTTCTTTTCATCATCAAGAACAGAAAACACAAGTTCCCAAACCAGCGACCACTGAGGCCGGTAGCGTTTTGCTTGTCACGTGGGGAAAGCCAATACCCCCTTCACAGGCAGATAACGAACACAAAACATGGCGAGAACAATGGCACGAAGCCTGGTCAATCAACATATGTGTAGTAACACTCAAAGTTAATTCCCATCACAGGCTGCATTCACGGGAATCAATCTTTAGGAACACACTCAACTTTTCTGTTCTAGTCAAAGAAATGGGCAGCCTAAACCTTACTTAGGGCAGCATTTTGGCAAGTACGATGCATTGTACAGCACACTGCACAGGATTAAAACCAGCTCGGATTTCAGAAGACCAAGCATTGCCACGTATATTCTGCTTATTTTCTGTCCCACGGAGCTTGGGAATTCATCGCAACTTTCTTTTCAAAGTGCAGACATTTCCTCTTAAAAGAGAAACAACGTGCACGTTTGCGCTGATAGATGACAGTTAATTTCTTCAGAGAACAAAATGTGCTTACATCACCAGAAAACAGGGAAAAGGAGGAAAAGCAAAACGACTTTCTATAGCTTTCATAACCATTATACCTTTTATTTACATTAAGAAAGATAAGTCATGAAACTTAAAACAATAAAACCAAATGCAACTTGTACAGAAATCTTTTAATTTTTTTTTTTTATTTATCACACATTAAAAAATGAAACACACTATACAAATGGGTTTTCATAGCAGATTACACATGGGTCCAGTCAGACTCGCTCTCAAAGTGCTGCCAACATTTATAAGTGCCGCCTGGGAGGGCAGCCATTTATCATATGGCCAATGTATTGATTTAAATGCAGTAGCATGCAACCCTTAAAGGAGCAGGGTTTGATTCCTTTCTGTTCTTAAATTAGGTTAAATGGCATTGGTGTCCATATTTACATACTTGAAATGTATCAATCCTGAGCAGTTCTGATGTAAATCTGAGACTGGCTGGTGGGAGTCCTGGTCTCAGTTATTAAAAAGGGAGGTCCAAATGGCAGCAGGGCAGCTGCTATGAAGTTCCGTTGCTTTCATCCTTTCCATCACATACCTATTTGCCGAGTGTCACACAGTCAAGTCATCGCTAATAAAAACGTTAAGCCAAGTAACTGTAGGTGTCCTTCTCGCCATCTACGCGTTCCAAGTACTCCTTCTCAATCAGAATGTCGATGCATTTCTGTGGGAGAAACAAAGCGTAAGGGGTGGGACACGGGCAGAAAAGCCCTCGCTCCGCTTGCTACAAACTCGGTAGGATTTTGGCCGTTCGGTTTCCTGCCCAGAAGAGGACGGAAGCAGGCAAAGAGCACAAACCACGGCGATTCGCTCTCCCGTTCCTGACCGCACCCGAGCGGAGGACTTCACTAATCCACTAAACTGAATGACGCTTACTTGATGCCATTCCCGGGTAGTGACTGGGAGACCAACTGATCATCCGTATGCTGAGCAACTTCATAGTAAGACAGCAAAGAAAGAGTTAAACCGAGACACAGAGTGCTTCGGGTAACGTTAAGGCCTGACTGGATCCAGCTTGCAGCGCTGGTGCCACTTTATGCAACTCCTCTCCGCTGCCTGGTTCCTGCCCCGCTCATCCCCTTGGCTGTGGATGCAACAACCATCAGTGGGACCACTAAAACCGGTGAGGAAACCGTAATTGAATACAAGGAGAAACTGTTCTGTCGAGCCGGCCCACAAGCAGTGGCACACCCACAACTGGAGCAAAGGCCACCGTAAGCTGGCGCTGAGGGGAAACGATGCAATCAAGCTACTGTTTTACCACTGCCAACAACACGAAACGTGCGTATTGCCGTAAGAGAAATACAATTATTTCTGGTTAAAATATTTCCTACTTATTTACAACTCCAAAAATCTGTCCTTACCCATCCCATCTCCTTAGCACCCCTTCTGAACTTAGAAGTGCGTATTGTGTCTGCATATACCCTATATCCTCACCTCCTGGAGTACAGGTTCAGAGACGGGGTTCTCACATACCTTAATTACTGGAACTCGTGGTTTGAACCTCGAGGACAGCTGTGTTAGCACTTCTCCAAGCAGTTGCTGGTGTTTCAGAACCTTCCTCATTTTCATGATTCTCACAATAGCAGCCTGCACAGCAAAGTCAGAAAGGTGTCCTTAGGAGCATTGGACTTCTCCTTCTGGATAAAGCCATTTTACTTCCCTAGCAGATCACATCCGCTCGCGCAGACACAGCATCACAGCAAACCTGAGTACCAGGTTGGGGGAGAAGCGTGCCTACAAACGTCAGCTACTCACGCAGACTTGTAGAACTCAGATTCTACGTAGCATACGGTCATCAGAAGTGGTTCTAACACGTGAATTTTAAGAACTACTCTACTTACGGTCAGTCGTAACAACAGCACCAACTGGAGCCAAAAGCAACGTGAAACTGTATCACAGAAAGCATTCTTTATATATTTCATAGAATCACAGAATGGTTTGGGTTGGAAGGGACCTCAAAGCCCATCCAGTTCCAACCCCCCTGCCATGGGCAGGGACACCTCCCACCAGACCAGGTTGCTCACAGCAGACCAGGTTGCTCAAAGCCCCATCCAGCCTGGCCTTGGACACTTCCAGGGATGGGGCAGCCACAGCTGCTCTGGGCAACCCACTCCACTGCCTCACCACCCTCACTGGGAAGAATTTCTTCCTCATATCTCATCTAAACCTTCCCTCTGCCAGTTTAAAGCCATTGCCCCTTGTCCTATCACTCCATGCCCCTGTAAAAAGTCCCTCTCCAGCTTTCTTGTAGCCCCTTTAGGTACTGGAAGGCTGCTCTAAGGTCTGCCCGGAGCCTTCTCGTCTCCAGGCTGAACAACCCCAACTCTCTCAGCCTGAATTTAACCTTACTGGGACACTCTCTCAGTAGTACCTTTGTATTTCCTTCCCCTGCCTCTTTGTTTCTCACAAACACAAATGAAGCGACAGAAACACACTGCTCAGTTCACGCTCCTCAGGCGTTAGGAGTTTGTCACCCAGGCGAGAGTTCGGGTGAGGGTGCGCATCCATGGAACCCAAACACTCACCAACACGATCTAAGAACAAATGTGAAGAGCAGTGTCCTGTCGTGCCTCTCTACATTTTCTATTACAGACTCCAATCGCCTTTAACAGTATCGTAAAGACTTTTTTAGCTCCCACAGTGCAATGCAATGGCATGTCGTCTTTTAATAAAAATTAAGAAAATGCCAGAGTAAGCTTCATTACAGGATTACGAAGCTGTAGTTCTAAGTTCATAGCATGGCAGCATTCTGCAACACAAGTCACCTGAATCAGTAGTTTCCTATCTTCCTCTATATTTTTGTGTGTAGTTTCTTGCTCCTGCTTCTGTTCAGTTTTCATCGGCACATTGATGTTTACCCTTAATTTTTTGCTGTAAAGAGAAACAGAAGTTAATAAAACAATTAGCCTGTTT